AGAGAGAGAGAGAGAGAGAGAGACAGAGAGACAGAGAGAGAGGCTTTTTACCTCAGTGAAGACTAGAACTTTGTTCATCTCCGTCTTGAAGGGATGAGGTAAGTGCACTGTGCTGACGAAGGAGTCCACTTTTTTCTGTGAGGAGGAGAAAAAGAAATTTAAAAAAAATTTCTTTCTGACAAAATAGACGATTTTGGTGAACACATAAAAAAGAACGACTTTAAATCATAGACCAAACTCAGGTTATCGAGTATTAAAACTTTTCCATCACACACTTTGGCAGGTGATCAACTATGATCTACTTGTGATCTACTTTGAGGATCCAGCTCCTTTTTCAGGAGATTACCGGAAAGTTTGTTTCCATACCGTTTAAAAATCAAACCCATTATTAAACTATTATTAAAATAAAATACATATTATTTTTCTGTGAATCAACTCATTGATTTGTCGACTATTAATTAAGGTCTTGTAATTGTGGAAACCTTCAGCGGTCGACAAATGTCAGCTCAGAAGTGTGAAGAGAGCAAGCCCCAGTGTTGATGCTGTTACCTTCTTCTCCAGCTTCATGTTCAGCTTCAGGTCGATATAAACCGGTTGACTGAGCGGAGTGAAGTCCAACACCTGGACGTTCTTCAGCAGGTCGATGGCCTCTGCTGGGTTGTGGATGGTCCGGGGGTAGTACCTCAAAATGTACACATCATCCACGGGTGCCCACGCCGTCTTGCCATAAGGCTTATGTCTGTTGGTGTCATCGATGACCTTCTTCTCTTTCTTCACCTCCTTCTCTGCTTCCTCTTTCTTGTCTTTCCTGTGTGCCCTGACGAATGAGTCAATGAGGGATTTGTTAAATTGAAAACATATCAGGCCCCGTGCTCGTCTTGATTTTATGGTTTGCGTGATAACAACATGGCTCTATTGCCAAACTGTTGGAGGGTGAAGACGGACAACATCTCCAAAGAGCTGGAAAACTCACCTGATGGCTGCAAAAGTCCTGACGGGGAGATCCCTCTGTGCAGTCTGTGAGACGCCCGTGTAGGTGGGACCACCGGCCCTGAGCAGATGCCTCTGACATCCTGCGACAACTGGAAAAGAAGCAAAGGCTACAATTAAAAAAAGAAAAGAAACAGCGTACAAAGACTTACCTTCATTTAACACAGACAGACACTGGTCTCTCTTTCTCTGTGGGACAGAATTTCAATCTGCAGACAACAACAAAATGTCTGTGATATTATGAAACACTTCAATTTAAATAATTCCACCCGGGGATGTGATGCAAACTGATGGAAACAATCAGGTGAGTGTTCTGGATGTGAATCAAATGATATTGAGAAATGTTGACATCTGTGAATTAGATAATAATGAAAAGTGAACAGTGTGAACCAGGGTTGTTATTCTATCAGCTTCACGATATTGTGTGTACATACAAAATAAATGAAGTTAATCATGGCTCCCATAAACACAACAGGCTGAAACTACAGCCTCTCGCCTTGATAAATGTTAGCCCGAAACTTCGTTCAGAAATCTGCCTGTTGAAGACGAATTTACTTATCAGCAAAGACACATATATCAGATAACATATTTTGATTGACAAATTCAATCATTTGTATTAACTCTTCAATTCGGCATCATACAACTAAAGAAACATAATTCTAATGTAGCTAAACATCCACGTTTCTTATTTAGTCTTATTTCGATAGCGCTTCTCTTCGCCGCCCACCCCTACGTGTTTTGGTTGAAGAACGCGCAGCACAGACCGATGACTCCATCCAAAAAACGACTAATTAGCGTTGAATTAAAAGCTGCCATGTTGATTCTATTGAAGCCGAATGAAACTTGAAATGTCACTTATTCTGAAATGACCACAAGCGATGTTCTTCAAAGCGTTCAAATATTAAATAAGGAAGTGGAAAGTCAGAATATCACATTTCCCCGACGGGATTTGGAATCAAGCAGAGGAGCTAGCGAACAGAGAAGCTAACACACAGAAACCGAAACAACAATAAACAGAGAAACTTCCAGAAAGAAATAATCTGTAATTCTCATGTTTTATAATTAAACTATTTAATCTCAGTTCCACTAAAGTGAGTTAAACCAGAGCCGCTGACCTTTCCACACGGTCCGCGTGCAGGATGCCATGTCTGGGAACTTCTCTGGTCCGGGTGAAAACAGCGGTGCTCTCTGAATGGTTCCGCCCGAGGAGAAACAAACCTCATCCTAAAAAGTGATAATATAACAGGTCGATAATCTAACAGGTCAATAATCTAACAGATCGATAATCCAACAGGTCAATAATCTAACAGATCGATAATCTAATTGATCGATAATCTAACTGATGGATAATCAAACAAGTCGATAATCTAACTGATCGATAATCCAACAGGTCAATAATCTAACAGATCGACAATCTAACTGATCGATAATCTAACAGGTTAATAATCTAACAGATCGATAATCTAACTGATGGATAATCAAACAAGTCGATAATCTAACTGATCGAGAATCGAACAGGTCGATAATCTAACAGATCTTTAAAAAGATAATATAATATAATACATGATAAATCTAAGTAGCATAGACTGTACTTAAAAACAATATGCTGAAGGTGTTTTTCTCGGTGAATACACTTTATTCCAGATTCTGCACTCACTTCCATATACTCATATATATGTCTCTGTGCAGGACACTGTCTATTTGTCTGTCTATTAAATATTAATTTAGATATTTAAATGGAGTTTGGTTGTACTCACTAAAAATTGGAGGCGGTAAACACCATACTTCTAATGTTGTGTGTTTATTTTATCCTGAGTTTTAAAAAATCTATTTCTAAATACTACGTTTTTGTGTTACACTAATAACCACTATGATATTATTATGAATCATCACTATGATTAATAACCTAGAAATGCAGTACACATGAGTGCAGTTATATACTTCATATTGTAAGTGGTTGATGTTATTCTATAGAAATGAATATGTGGGGGCAGTAAACCTCAGCAGTCTGACAATGGTTAGTGTCATTTCATCCTTACTATTAAACATCTATTTAAAGTTTAAACGTATATAAATACGTTTTTGTGTTACACTCATACCACTATGATATTAGTACAACACCCTATAAATATGATCCACGTGTATATACTTACTTACTTATACTTATTTCAAATATAAAAACTCAACAGAACTGAAGAAGTGTTGCTGACATGAGGAGCCGGGGGGGGATGAAAATCGGTGTTGCACGCGGCGGGCACGAGCGGAAGCCGCATTTGTTGTTCTTCCCTGTGTTTCCGAGACGTAGCGGGACTGCGCGGGTTCGACGTCTGCATATGTCTCCTCCAGCTCCGCCGGTGAACCGTCTTCTACCGGCCCCGAATGAAGGTAACGTCCCTCCTCAGCTTCTCCCCGCGCCGCGGACTCTCTCCCCGGGACCGTCCCGGGTTTAAATCCCGCTCTTTAACCCTCCCCCTCGCTCGGACTCGTGTGTCGTCGTCCCCCCCCAGCCCCCCCTCCCTACCCCCGGCGCTCCGCCTCGCCGCGTCCCGGGCAGCGTGCGCTCCTGCCGCCGCTAGCCAAACTAATCCAGCGCCGTGCTCGGAGCTCACCGGGCGGCTGCTCGCACCGACTCTTGGCGCTATTTTTAAACCGTTTTCAACCCGTTTTACCGTCTCAGCCGCTATTTTTAACCCGTTTCACCGTCAGATACCGAGGAGCCGGACCCCAACAGAGGGCGTCAACCCCGGCGTGACAGCTGCTCACCCCCCCCCCCTCTCTCTCCCTCTCTCTCCCTCTCCTGCACGGGGCCCTGTCACTTCTGACATGACAGCTGGGTCTGGTCCTCCCAGCTGTTTGTGATGGACACACACTTTAACAAACAACAACAACACAACAACAACAACAGCAGCTCCTCAGTGTGTGTGTGTGTGTGTGTGTGTGTGTGTGTGTGTGTGTGTGTGTGTCCGCCTGCAGCTTCTAACTTGTGACCCGGTCCCGTGTAAACAGGTTACATAAGAAACTTTATTCCGCTCCAGCATGAGCCACTGAGATCCTTCATGTATAAATACTCTGTCACAAGTAACATCCCCCCCCCACCCCCCCTTCATCAAGAGCAAAAACCTGCTCCACCAGAGTACTTCAAAGTAAAAGTACACAGTGTGCAGAAAAGCAAACGTGTGGTTTTTTTTTTTTTATGTAATAAATTGCACAATTAACACTTAAAGCACGAGCAGCGTGTTCAGTGTCTTATTTTGCACTTTGTACATGTGTGTGATATAATGAGAGTTTATTGTTGTTTCATTTTATTTTTCCTTCCCGACACCTGGAGTTATTTATCGCACACACCGTGCATCGTGGGGGGTTATAAATACAACGTGATCGCTTAGATACACAATTTATCTCACATATACTGCTATTCCCTGTAAATACCACTATTATTACTATTATTGTCGTTGCTGCTCCCCCCCTGTCAGACGTTTTCTTGTGTATAAATACTTTAAACACTTGTGTTAGACACGTCTGTGCAGAAGAGAGGATGTATCTTGGCTTTGTTTGTTTATGCTGATATAAAATCGTTGTGTGTGTCAGTCAACAACCACACACCTGACCAGCTTCTATGCAGGATTTTAAGTGTGTTTTATTTTAGTTGTGTATTTAGTCTCACACAACAATAAGGAATTGTTGCTTATATCTATTTTAAATCAGTGTAAACTGAATGTTTGGATGTTTGACTTTTATATTTAAAGAATTTTGTCTGTTGATTTTGCTGACATGTCATTATTACAGATCCAGAAAATATTTCATATGTTCTGCTAAGATTCAAATCATTACTTTTTATTTGTATTTGTTTAATTTGTTTTATTGATTCATTGGTTTGAATATATACAAAGAATAGCATCACATCATTATCTGCTGATCCGATATTGATTAATTGATAAATCATTGCAGCTCTATTTTTTGTCTCATTTCTTTTCTCAGTAGTTGTCTGTTCTCTCTTTAGCACTGGGCATACTATATATACTGAATTTAAAATAAAACCTCCATGTTCTCCTTCTGTCTTTCAGATTAACAGGTATGCCAAAGGAAAAATATGACCCTCCAGATCCCCGCAGATGTTACACCATCATGTCAGCCGAGGATGCAGCCAATGGGAAGAAGTCTTACTGGGCTGAGCTGGAGATCTCTGGTGAGTCTGACTATCTCCCTCTGGCTCTGCCTCCACAGAAACATCCCAGAGTCTAAATCACGACCGACAATGTTTAGCAATATCAGAGAATATCAGAATAAGCAATAATCAAATTAAAACATGGAGTATTCTGACCGTAGTCACGTCATGTAGACATGTAAACGTCTTATCCACATTATAAAGTCCTGTTGGAGTTAACACAGCGTTTTGTGACGATAAAAACTGCTTGAAGATGAACTTTCCTGTTTTAAACAAGATGGAAAAATAACAATAAATTGAAGCTTTTGCAGAATTAGAAGGAAAAACCCGGCATAATGTTGACATGAGTTATAATCAGACTGTAACACAAACAGGAATATGATCGGAATATTCTATTAGCAACTCATGTAAACATCATAATGGTTTAAATTGTTCAGGCTGAAGCTGAGCTGAAGCTCTTGATTATCTCTAAACCATACGGTGAACCTCACCCGACACCAAACCTCAGATGTTCACTGATAACGTCAGACGGAGCCACAAGGACTCTGCGGATGTGAAACTGAAAGAAAAATGTGAATCATCAAACTTTGCCAGGCTGATTAAATTAAATGTAGAACCAGCTGCTCATCAGGTTTCTGCTGAATAATCACGCGTCCTTCACCTCTGATATCTGGACGATTTCTTTCCGAATGAAGCTACTGACGCAGAACATAAAAAAATATATTTTCCAACTGGTTTAATTCAGTTGTTTTAATTGGTCCCAGAGTTCTCCACCAGTGTGGGGTCACTGTGCTGGATTCTATCAGCCTGGTTTAAGTGTGGGGGTTTTTGTGTCACGTGATTTTTGATTTTTCTCATGTGGTTTTTCACTGTGAAAAAGATTAATGTGCTGACGGAGGAACTGAATCAGATACTGTTCTGTCATGAGAAGGTCAAAAACAAATATAGTTTTAATATTAGCCACAAAACGAAAACACCAGCACAGACAAAAGAAGTCTTGTAAAGTCCTGAAGAGCCACAGTCCGTTTTGAATTCGCCCGATCGAAAGGTTTCTCTAACGAGATGTGAATTTGACGCAGGGCGGGTGAGGAGTCTGAGCAGCTCGTTGTGGACGCTCACTCACCTGACGGCGCTGCACATCAACGACAACAACCTGAGCCGCATCCCGCCGGACATCGCCAAGCTGCCCAACCTGGTCTACCTGAACCTGTCGTCCAATAAGCTCCGGAGCCTGCCCGCCGAACTGGGCAACATGGTCTCTCTCAGGTTGGTCGCCCGCTGGACCTAGACCTTCTATCGCAGAATGTTCAGTCATGCTCCGGTCATCTTATCTGCCGCCTGGCTTGAGATTTTACACGAATGATCTGAAACTATAACTTTCATTTTACTTAAAAGTGCAAAATTCTTTCTTTGAAATGAAATTGTGTCGTTTAAAAGATGATGTGACAAATCGTCCAAAGCGTAGAAGAGACGAGGAATCACCGCGTTGTTGCAGAGAGTTTGTGGACGACATGAACGACCGGCTCACAACTCTGACGTCTGTGTGTTGCAGGGAATTGCTTTTAAACAACAATCTTTTGCGAGTTCTGCCTTATGAACTTGGGAGGCTTTTCCAGTTACAAACCCTGGGGCTGAAAGGTGAGTCCTCTCTGTTTTTATTTCATGTTGGACAAACAACTCGGCTCTTCTGTAATAAAGTTTAAGGGCGCTTAAACTTTACAGTCTAGTCTGAACCAAAATATCAGGTTGTGACAGTTCACTCGGGCCACGGTCCAGACCAACAAATCAAATGTGCCCCATGTTTATATATTTTATATTTAGTTTTTATGCAACTGTCGTGCAGGAAATCCTTTGTCCCAAGATATCCTCAATCTGTACCAGGAGCCGGACGGAACCAGAAAGCTTTTGAACTACATGCTCGACAATCTAGCGGGTAAGAGGCTCGGGCGCTTCACCGTACAACTCCAGTGTTAATTTGAACTCATGCATATTTAACCCTGTCGTTTATTGTACACCTGAGCACCACAGGTACATAACAGCCGCTGTTCTGTTGTGGACAAATGAGCACTAATCTTCCTCCTGCCCTGTTTTACAGTGCACCCGGAGCAGCTCCCCCAAAGACCTTGGATCACGCTGAAAGAGCGAGACCAAGTGATGCCCACAGGTACGCAGGGACGCATTTGCAGCACGTCTCATTATTAAGAGTAGGTGACACAGTGTTATCTCTTTCGGTTTAATGTATCCTTCGCATTTCCGTCCTGCAGCCGTGTTCACGGTCATGTGCTACAACGTGCTGTGTGACAAGTACGCCACGCGGCAGCTGTACGGCTACTGTCCGTCCTGGGCCCTCAACTGGGAGTACCGGAAGAAAGGCATCATGGAGGACATCACCAACTGTGACGCTGACATCATCAGTCTGCAGGTAAAGAAGGAGTTTCTCAGTCTGAAGAGGAGTCCTGTTACATCCTCAACGTTCAGCTGAATTTATTTTCCAGGAAAAAAAGAAAACTAATCAGACGATAATTTCGAGCGGCAGTTTTTTGAAAAGGTCAGCTGGAGGAGTCTAAAGCTGTTTACGTTTTACCTGAGATTGTCCGGGTCAGACTCTTGAATCCCGTTTGTCTTTCCAAGTTGACGTCTTTTTCATCCTGAGATATTTGTGTTCTTCCAGTTTCACATCATGTTTCAGAAACATCATCAACACGTCCACTCGCTCGATGTGAATGTTCCTGTTTCGATGGAGCTGATTTAAAAAAAAACTATGAAAACGCATCTTAAGGATGAAGTGACCTCACTAACAGCTGCTCACGTCCTGTTGTTTTAATAACTGCTGACGTCTCTTGTCCCGTGTGTGTGTGTGCAGGAGGTGGAGACAGAGCAGTACTACACCATGTTTCTGGAAACGCTAAAGGAGCACGGCTACGACGGCTACTTCTGTCCAAAGTCTCGTGCCAAACTGGTTTCTGAACAGGAGAGGAAACACGTGGACGGCTGCGCTGTGTTCTTCAAGACTGAGAAGTGAGTTTTTACCGCACGAGAATAAATGGATGTGTTCTTTGGACTGAGCCACGTTCAGAGAGGTTCGGCTCGAAGTTTTCACAGTCCTCCTCCCTGGATGTTGATGATTTGCCGTCCTGCAGGTTTACGTTGGTCCAGAAACACACTGTGGAGTTCAACCAGGTGGCCATGGCCAACTCCGAGGGCTCCGAGGTCATGCTGAACAGAGTGATGACCAAAGACAACATCGGCGTGGCCGTTCTGCTCGAGGTTAACAAGGACGTGTTCTCCGGCGGTAAGAGACGCTCTGTTACCTGTCTTCAGAGGGAATCGAACATCACTGTCTCTTGTGAGAAGCTTTAGGTCTCAGAGCTTCTCAGAAACATGTCCTACTTTCCCTCTTTCTTCCAACTTGGTCCAGTGTTGTTAACAATATAGTTATTAATGATATATAAAGATGAGCCTGGTAATTGTTTTTTCAATTAATTGTTTAACATATGCGGAGCTCCAGGTTGTTTAGTCTAAATTCAATCAGGGTCATATTCACTGCACATTTACTTCCACACTTTAAACTGAGTTATGTTTAATCCACATTTGCACTGTAGCAAAAAACCGACGTAAGATAAATTAAATACATTTCAATGATGCATGAGACGTTATTCTGCAGTCGTGTATTTTGCCACAAGGTGTCAGTTGTTTCACAAATCTGTTCTGGTGTGGTTTGATTACACAACCGGGTTTGGTCAGTTCATTCATCTCCCTCCACAGTGATTGACACGTGGACAGTTTTTTGCGGCGGGTGTTTCACTTTCAAATCCATTTATAGCCAGAACATCCCCTTCGTGGTTTGATTTCCCTTTATTGACATTCTTTAAACGTCTGACTTTAATAGTTTTATTGTACTGTCTCAGCACTTTTGAGTGTACTCATCAGAGTTTGGGTCTTTTATGCAACCACAAAAAAACATGTTACATTTTTACTTCCCAATACCTTCCTCGTTCTCGTAAATGTAAAACTTTACAGGGTTTTGATGTTTTTATAGTTTCATTGTGATATGATCCGATATTGCTCTTGTTTTCAGGCATGAAGCCACCACAGGAGAAGCAGTTGATTCTGGTGGCCAACGCCCACATGCACTGGGACCCCGAGTACTCGGACGTTAAGTTGATTCAAACCATGATGTTCCTGTCGGAGCTGAAGAGCATCGCTGAGAGGGCCTCGGGCTCCATAGCGACCGGCTCGCCCACGTCCGACCCGTCCTCCATCCCCATCGTCCTGTGTGCTGACCTCAACTCGCTGCCCGACTCTGGTAGGACCGAGCCTCCGTTAACGTTTGAGCCTCCCACTCTGGTTGGTTGGTTCCCATGTTGGTATCGTGTCTGTAACAGTTTCGTTAACGCAGCGTGATTCTCTTCAGGGTTGAATGAAATAAGGAGGATAAATGTGATGCACCTTTGCAATCGAGGTTTTATTTCTGCATCACGCAGGGGTGGTTGAATACCTGAGCAACGGAGGGGTGGCCGAGAACCACAAGGACTTCAAGGAGCTACGCTACAGGGAATGTCTGACCAACTTCAACTGCAACGGCAAGAACGGCAACTCAGACGGAAGCATCACTCACAGCTTTCAGCTGAAGAGCGCCTACGACAACAATCTGATGCCTTACACCAACTACACATATGACTTCAAGGTACAAATATTTGATGTGCTGATTATTTCCCAAGGCAAACTGCTGTTGTTGTATGTTTGGATGCTGGGAGGGGGGGGGTGTGAAAATAAACACTTGCAGCGCTTCCCGCGGAAACATCGAGCTCACGGTGTTTTATGTGGAGTTTCCCATAGTTGGACTTTATACAGATATATAATGACTGAGGTAAGTCTGTAGGCGTCTACATCAATAAGATCATGACGCACTGATTAATAGCAAGCGATGAGTTTCACTTCTATTAGCGAGCACACATCCGCTGTGCTGGAGATGACTCAGAGTCGCCTAAACCTGCATCAACAGGATGAGTTAATATGAACTGTCTTTTTTTTTTCCTCATCACACAAACAAAAACAGGAAACTTTCCAAAGTGTTTGAGAGAAAACCAGAAACCAGAGAGGTCGTTCAGACCGTCGTTGAATTAAACATTTTAGATTTTCTTTTATGTCAAACACTCATTCCCGTCTCTGCTCCCTGACACGATGTGTTTGTGTCTCCAGGGCGTGATTGACTACATCTTCTTCTCGAAGACCCACATGAGCGTCCTCGGCCTGCTGGGACCGCTGGACAGCCAGTGGCTCGTCGACAACAACATCACCGGCTGCCCCCACCCCCACATCCCCTCGGACCACTTCTCCCTGCTGGCCCAGCTGGAGCTGCACCCCCCCCTGCCCCATCCGCACAACCCCCTCAACGGGCTGCACCTGCCGGTCAACAGGTAGTGCAGCCTGACGGAGCCCCCGCCCACCCTCCCTCCCTCCCTAGCCCACCTTTTAAACACTGCCCCCCCCTCTCCCCCCTCCTCCAGCTTTATACAGGGCCCTGTACAGTTTATTGATCACATTAGACCTCAGACACCATCCAACCCTCTCCAGCCCTCAGACACACTGACCCAGAAGGAGTGAAGTATTCGCCCTGTTTGTTGCTCCTCTTTGTTGCACACTTTAAATGTGTAAATAATTTTTTCCTCCCCCCCTCCCCCCCTAGAAACCAAATGTTGGGCTCGGGATGAAGCTGCTTCTTCTTTTTTTTTTTTTGCTTGTTGACTCTGCTCCTATAACAACAAACCTTCACTAACGCTATCGACCTTTTTAAGATATGTCCTCTGAATTTGATTTGGGTAAAAAAACTTAACACACTACGATCAAGTCTATAAGTTATGAATGTTATAGGAGGATGTGAAAGGTTTGTTTACATCAGTACATGTTTTAAATTTTGAACAGCCAAGAAACCCTGAAACACTTTAGTCGTCGATATGAGAGAGAAAACACTTTTTAAAGCACCGGGCATTTTAAAAGTAGTGTAACTTCGTTGTAACAGTAAACTGGTGTTTCATGGGAACGAGAAGCTGAAATCCTCTCACGTCGCAGCTGCAGGTCTCGGCTTTGCGGAGGTTAAAAAAAAATCTCAGCACGAAAGCCGCCTCGTCACAGTTCGGCGTGTTGCTGCATTCAGGTCCATTCACCTCCATGAATTGTCTCCTAAAATACGGGTCTTAAACCTTCTCATCGATCGTCACAGAGGTACAGAATCAATCCTGGACGATCCACGCTCACTTTAAAAGATGCAGCTCGTGACTTGCATTGCCACCAAATTGCCCCCCCCCCCCCGCCTACTCTTTGAATTGTTTTTAAGACGGGAAACATATCAGCAACACGGTCCTGACAGTGACAAACTACGTGCTTTAGCTTTGGAACATGTCTTAAGACTATCTGTCCTGGTTCCCATCACCTGACCGGCCAAAGAATCTCCCCACAACAAGTGACTTACACTCTGCAGATCACGAGATAATATTTCATTATCGCTGCCAGAGAAAAAAAAAAAAAAAACTCCTGCAAAGAATCTGCTGATGATTCGAGAGCAGGAGTCGAATGTATTTACCAGAGGCCAGCTTCCTGTGGACTCTGAACTTTGTGTCTTTGTTGTCTGATGAGTAGAACTAATAGCCCTTTATGTAAGTTGTGACTCAGGGCTATTCTATGCATCGAGCAGTACCTCTCAAACTCAAGACTCTCAGAGTCGCGTCATACGAGCAAAACCATTCAGGAAGCTATTCTGAAAATCCTTTATAAGCACAGGTGATGTATGAGCGTTCATACGGAGATGTTGTTGCAGTAGAAGTCCCACGTCTTTGTGCATTTTTGATAAAACTACTGCCGCACATATGCTCCATTCCCCAAATTTGAGAAATTAAAATTCGAGTCCTGAGGAAGACGCAAAAAGTGTTGAAATAAATTTGGTTCAGAGTCTCTTCAAAGTTTTAGAACATCATCGTCATCTGGTTTTGTTTTAGGGCTTTTTAGACAAGTGTCAGATCGACAAGATGAATGTATTCAGGAGTACTTCTGGGAATCTCTACCGATGCAGTACATATTGATATTTCAAGAAAACTAATTAAAGCCAAACTTCTAAAAGTCGTCGAAACCAGTGGCTCCAGAAAGTGACATTGGCATCATGAGATAATTAATGAGGCAGCGATCAAGAAAAATCTAAATCATATTGATTTTGGGGACTTTTATCTGTAAATGTTTTCTCACTGCACCTAAAATAAAATACAGACGACAACTGACTATGAACTGGTCAAAAAGACGAGGCCAGTCTTCAGTTCTCGACACGTTTGATTGGTACGAAGAAGAAAAAGCTGAGGTTCGATACCCAGCTCTGTCTATGCAGGGGAATCACATCCGCTCACGGTAGTTGAATTATGTGGCACATTTCAAGTGTAGTATCTTTATAAACCTGAAGAGATTGAATTAGTCGAAAGCTTTTGCTCTGTAGAGAATCTGAAAAGAAAAGCCATAGTAATTATTTAGGGATAGACGGTGTCGGCACAACACGGCACCCCGTAACTTCAGCTTTAACCCACACTCGGATCAGTTGAGCCGGCCTGGACGGGCGGTGTCGGCTTTGCTTCGGTTGCACATGATTTGACTCGAACAAGTCCGCCCCCTGGTTTCAGAGGGATCGATCCCTGTGAGCATTTTGAGGCCTATACTTCACTCCTGAACTCACCTCACAGGGTTTCCTGATTTTGTACAACAGCTGTACATAAAGAAACTGTCTTTGGCGACAGGGCGTCTTTCACATTTTGAGGGGGACGTACCATCCTCCAGACAACGGGGCGTATTTTGTCGTCACAAGTCACAGGTGTACTTGTGCTTATTTTTCCTTTGCCCGATGATTTCATATGTGAAAACCACCTCAACCTGTCTGGAAAACAACCCCCGTCTCTGTCCAACTTTGTTTTTGAGCTGCGGGCATTTTCTGTCTCCAACTAACTTGCAGTCTTTGAACTGGTACTTTGTACGATTCAGTATCACCGAGTTTTTGAGAGGAAAAGATAAATGTTCTAGGTTTAAAAACAGTTTGTCTTGATGGCTTTTATTTCTCCACTGCACATTTAAGTGTCACATCAAAGTTTTCTCTCTGAGATGAGGCTTAATCAGAATGACTTGGATTTTTTTTCTTTTTTTTGATTTTATGTATTCACTCTTGAGTTTTGGCTTCTCTCTGTGCCGCCCCCCCGCCCGCCCTCCTTCAGCTCATCCAGCCATCGTTACCTCTCAGCATTCGACCCGTCAGTCTTGTTTCTGTAGAGTCCACATCACATAATCTTTCTACAAACAACGTGCCTAGTTTGTACAACTCCTCCAACAGCAGCACTGCCCATGAGACAAAGACGCTCAGATTAACCCAGCGCCATCATCCACCCATCCATCCATCCATCCATCCATCCATCACTCCATCCATCACTCCTTCCTGAACCAAGCTGAGGAATCATTGCTCACTTCAGAGTTTTATGTGTTGTTTTATTTCTGCCACAGATCTGAAATCCACACTGTCACTCGTTTGTGGTTTTTCCTTTTTTTTCTTCGCTGATTCCGCTGCAGATAAACTAGCTGTGTTTTCCACAGGATTATCTCAACTGCCATTGCATGCAATTTCTGAATGTAAAAAAAAAAAATAATCCTGGTGTTCACTACCTGGCCCTGGTTTGGTTTTTTGTTTTTGTTTGGACTGTTTATCGTCGCACAATCGCCAATAGGAAACCCATCGATGTTCGCTGAGGAAAATACGAGATATGTTCTGTACATCTTGACATTGACTTTGTTCGTTAACAACGCTTGACGACACACAGCTTGATGCACTGGTTAGTTTGCTGAAATTTGGCCGATATATAAAATACGATTTGGGAAACAAAGAGAAAAGGCAAAAACTTTTTAAAAGCCAGATTGACAAAAAAAAATTGGGATCATTTGGGAATCTGTCAATTTTAAGAGCGAGAAGATTTAAGGAACACCGGGCTGGTGTTTCTGGAAATTCTCTGCTCCTGGAAACATTTTAATTATTTTAGAGTCGCTGCTTTCCAGCAACTTTCAGCAGATTTGTTTTATTCGTGTGTAAAAGTGAAGTGAAGTGAAACTGGGTGATGACACTCGGCCACCAGCAGTCAAACGGTGCTACTGATACTTCTCCAGAGGATTTTAAAGAGTTGCACTTAAACCTGATCTATGTCACAAATGTTAAGTTTCCATTTCCAGAGSAGGGGGGGGGGGGAGGATGAGCTGCAGCTCTGTGGTGAAGAGCTGAATCAGAAAAGTGGGTTTTGTACTGTGGATTCAAAGTGTGCATCGTGTTCGACGACTAAATGTCACAAAGACAAATTAGCGTCGGCTCACGAGGACGAGTGGAGGTTTGTCTCATAGGCGACTTTGTGTGAACAGGAAATAGAAAATACAGATTTAGCCTTTGCAGAGGTCCTTTTATTTTGAAAGCCGAGTTACTGCTGCACATTGCAGTTTAATACACGTGAATGAAGTTGTTCTCAGTTGTGTCATCAGATCCTTTAACAACTTCACCTTTCTCCCAAAGAACTTGATACATGTAAATGAATGAATATATATAAATAAAGAGATTTAAAATCAATGAAAGACGATAAATTAAGTTGATTTTCTTTATAGGAATGTATTTAAACTGGACATGAAACATACTTTATTTAAAATCAAAATGACTTTCATTCTCCCAAAGAATTAAGAGAATCACACGCTCCATAAATGTTATAAATTAAAATGTCATGTTACCTGTTTTATTAAAGTTATTTAGAAACAAATTGAACGTGCACTAACCATGAATGATTAAAAACTAAACTAAATCAAAAATGTTTTAGACAAACAGAGAAATTATTCATTCTTCTTCAACGACCCACTGCCGCACAGAAAACATCCATTAAATACAAGTTGATTTTTACATGTATGAAGTGATGGACGTCTACAAAGGCTACAGCTGTATCTGACACGTGAGCCGTTACACCTCAGTTTGAGAAAAACACGCTCCACACACACACACACACACACACACACCCCCTCCCTCCTCATGAGGCAATAAACATGTCACTTTTCAAGAGACTCTTCGTCTGTGATTTATTTCTTCATGGAAACGACACAAACGTGTGAAGCACCCAAACCGCGGACAGCAGGACCGGATCCACCGGACCGTGTCGTCCGTTTTATTTTAACCCAGAAGAATAATTCAGAGTCGTAGATTTAAAACATCAGATTTTTATTAAAAGAATCAGTTTTTTGCTTCAAATTACATTTCCTGATGACAAAATGTCAACGCTGACACATTTGAACAGTTTCAGAGAAGAATATGTGAAACTGCAGTGAGATAAAGTTTCTCACTTGCTCAGTGAACAAAGTTTAATAATATAAAATCCAAAGGGAAGAAACACCAATCAGTGGCAGAAGACTGGTGTTAAAGGTTGAACCATAAATCAACTGTCCTACATCTAATTCACAGCTTGTAAGTAAATGGGGTGTGATGATAAATGCGATCAGAAGTCCGGGGCGGGAGAATGGGTGGTTGAAATGCTGGTTTTGTCAGTCGTCTCATTTTCACTGTAATTAAAACAAAAAGAGACGAGATGAATTAAAAAGTGATGAGCAGCGACAGACGCAGCAGTTTAGTGTGAAACGATGGCCAAGCGGAAAATATACAGGATTACAGAATTACACAATCCCAGGTATTTAATAAACTGTTGAAATAATCAACAGTCGTCTGATGCAGCCTGTTCTCTGAACACGGGAAAATAAAGGACCATCTCTGAGAGCATTGTATTTGACGTGTGTTTTCATTTTGTCCATGTCCAATCTGTTAACATAGAGGAGGTGGGGTTTATGACCTTTACCGCAGCCAGCCACCAGGGGGTGATTCAAACACTGTGGTCTCACTTTTGTCAGCTCCGGAGAGCTGCACAACGAAACATTCACATAATAAAGATTGTGATGAGTACTTTTGAATCTGATCAATAAACCTGTAATTCTGGTTTTATTAAACGTTCTTATATTAAAGATCCCTGATTTTTTTTAAAAACACAAACAAAGCAAGTCTTCACCTCTGCAGATATCCGAGCAGGTCCTTGATCCACTTCTCTTCTGGAGCCACACAGAGTTTGTAGCCGTTTCTCTTCGTGATGCTGGCGAGAAAGAAGAGAATACGGAATAAAAGTGATGAAAGACGTTAATTATGTAACAGAGGAGAACTTCTTACATCACTTCCTCAGGAGGGAGTCATCACAAAACTCACTGAGAGGGTTTTTAATGAGGCGGCCGAACACTTGTGCAATGTCGTGCTTTCACTCCACTACTTTCACTACTGCTGGTGAGAAGAGAAGATTGAAAGTGTTGTGTTGTTCGTGCTCAGACCCGGAGCCTGGAGGCAGGCAGAGGATCCACTCCTCAATTAAAAGAACCTGAAAGCAGTAGTTTGACAATTACAACGATTATCAAACTACTGCTTTAAGAACAATTCTAAGGTAAGAAGTACTTCAAATGTACTTTACACGTCCCCATGAGATTTCAGAAACATTTTTAATAGCTTCTTTATTCCTGTCAAACCACAAAAGTCTCTTTGTGAGTTTTACAGATGTAATGAGACATTCGGGACAGAAATAAACTCTTTAAATTTGATACCTACAGTTCGATTGGTGACATCATTTATTAATTTATCAGATAAATGTCTCAACTATACTCACATGATCTCAGTCCGGCGACATTGTCCCGAAATAGGGATCACCTCAAGTTTCTTGATGAACCTAACGGGGACTTTATCGGGAGTCGTCCGGATGCAGTGACACCCCCGCTGACGAAAGGCTGCGAAAAAATATTTAAATTTTAAAAGCAGTTAACTCATGAAACGTTTTTACACGTTTGCACAGAACAACTGTCTCTCCACT